CTATATTCTCAAGTGGCAGGAAATTCCAGGGTGATTTTTTACAGAATCGGTAACCTTGTGAGTAGAAAGAGCTGGAGAATTACATCCAAGCTAGGACTGCAAATAAAGTAAGAGGCACTTAATGTTGCCTTTTCAGTTTATTATTGGCTGAAGCTCATGAACTTAACATACTACACACATTAGACAATTTGAAAGCACGGAAATGAAATAAATTGTTACCCCCAAATCCTCCTTTGCAGATTTTAATGATGAATCTTCTTCGAATATTCTCCAAATACGGTACCTAATATTTTTCAAATATTGGATACCTGTATTTGACAATGCTATGTATGAGTTTGATATTTAACGGCTGGCAGTATGTGATAGATGGCATGCAACAGTAATTAGTGTCTGACAGCATCTGATATATAATTTTATTTAGTAAATGATAGTATAAGACAGCATGCAAGTGTACAGCTTGCCTTTGATTCCTGCAAAAATCAAAACAACGAAGAGATGTCAAAATAGAAAAGCATTCAAAGATTGCAACAAATGTTTTACATCTGAAATGCAAACTCTCATTTCAGTGCTGTCATTTTGCATTCATTTTTGGGTGAATCCTAAATATTTTCCAGAGTTAAACTGAAAGGGTGTTTTTTTTGTGTGTGTTTTTTTTTGCAGTATGAAAACATCACACAATCACACCCTGTTTATGATCCTTTGGGAATTGCTTGTGAGGAGGCCTGGCTGGTTCCTTCAGTACATATCTTTAGGTGTCAGGCAAAAACATTCCTCTTCTCCCAGGTCTTTGGCTACTTAAACAATCTATGGGCTTTTAAACTGCATGTGGAGGGTGTTTATTGCTTTTGTTTGTTGTTATGGTATGTATTTTTGTGTTTTTATATTGTAAACTGCCCTTTGATCCTCAGATGAAGGGCAGTATAGAAATTTAATGAATAATAACAAGAATTGCTTTGAAAATAATTTTCCTATTCAGAAAGCATTGCTGTAATTCTGAATTGCCCTCACATTGATAACAGAAAACCAAATCTTATTGGATTCAAGCTGTTGTGATATTATCCTTGCTGTTCATTGTGTGTTTCTCATCTGGCTGATCCATGAAGCATTGCGATCAGATCTAATCTGATTGGCTATTTGTGATGTTCTTTCTGACCTCATATTCCGCACTCGCAATGGCAGTGAATAAGGGGTATATGGAGATAATACAATTAAAGGGATGTCTGACACATAGTTCTAATCTCTCATCAAAGCAATAGCTCCGTACCCTCCAACCTTTCTCTGATAAAACTAGGGACATCCTATTTAATAATAATAATAATAATAATAATAATAATAATAATTTTATTTATAGCCCACCCATCTTACTGGGTTGCCCTAGCCACTCTGGGCAGCTTCCAGCATATATAAAAAACATAAGAAAACATTAAACCTTTAAAAAAAAAACTTCCCTATTTATCATCTTGGGTCGCATAACTCCATACGCTCCAACATTTCTCCAATGGAAATAAGAGACATCCTAAGTAAAAGCAAGGGGACACGGGTGGCACTGTGGGTTAAACCACAGAGCCTAGGGCTTGCCGATCAGAAGGTTGGCGGTTCGAATCCCCGCGACGGGGTGAGCTCCCGTTGCTCGGTCCCTGCTCCTGCCCACCTAGCAGTTTGAAAGCACATCAAAGTGCAAGTAGATAAATAGGTACTGCTCCGGCGGGAAGGTAAACGGTGTTTCCGTGCGCTGCTCTGCTTCGCCAGAAGCAGCTTAGTCATGCTGGCCACATGACCCGGACGCTGTACACCAGCTCCCTCGTCCGATAAAGCGAGATGAGCGCCGCAACCCCAGAGTCGGTCATGACGGGACTTAATGGTCAGGGGTCCCTTTACCTTTAAGGAAAAGCAGGACATTTTGGGATCAAATCATAAACTGGAACAGCTTCTGTAAATCGGGGACTGTCCCTGGAAAATATGGGCACTTGTAGAGTCTGTAGCTTTGATCTGAAAATGAAAATGGGACGACATTCTGTGTATCCTTACTATTTCCTAATATTTGCAGCCTCAGACAACAGTGGGAAACTGGGGCCGGGGTTATGGGGGAGAGTCTACCCTGACCAGCTCAGCCTGAATGCTTCTCTGCTGTTTGTTCCATCTGCCAAGCACTTGGCTCCTTAAGCCTTGCATCTTGCTTCAGGCAGAGGAGAGAAAACTGGGGACAGACTGATGCCACCTGGACCAGCTCAGCCTGAATGTTTGTCAGCTGTCTAGTCCCTCCTCCAGGGCATTTGGCTATTTAAGTCTCGGAGCAGCTTGCTTCAGCTGTGAGCCAAAGTGGGTAAGAGAAGAGGGCTCTTGGCTGGGCAGTGATGAGCATAGGGAGAACCTGGAAGAGTTGATTGGAGGCACCTGTGGCTTGCTGGGAACACTCCCAGCTCACGAACCTATAACCAGTGATGCTACTGCGGATTACCCTTCGGAATTACCCTGAGGATGCACCATCTCTTGTTGTTTTTACTGGTATTGTGCAGGGGTGAAATGGCTCCTTGTAGATGCTCCCCAGTGAGAGCAGAGAGTGGCAAGGGTGGGGAATGTCTAAGCTTGCTAGGAGATAGCAAGGGTTGTGGGTACTCCCTGAAGGACTCCAGGGAAGGGTGTGAGTTTACCCTACCATTTAGCACAAGCTTATCCTCAGGAGATAGCTGGTTTTTTTTTATTATTATTAAAGATTTTCTTGATTTACAAAAGTGTGTGCAATGGCTCTCTCTCGCATTTTTTCCTCCATGTAACATTTTTTACAAATCAGTTTCATTCGTTGAGGCATTAGGAAGAAAAGGGGGAAAGAGGTGGGGATGGGGAAAGATGGGTGGGGTTGGGTGGCAATGTTTCTATTTTATTATATGTAGGGTTTGGTGTCAGCGTTGCTTGTGCAGGTTCTTTGCTGTTCACTTGTGTTCCTTTGGTGGTGAGAGAGGTTGGGGTTGGCCTAGGGTGTGGTTATTCATTTGTGGTTGGCTGTGGTGGTTTTTGTTTTTGTGTGTGAATGGGATGGGTGGGTGTCAGGTTAGCCACATTGATTTGTATGCTGTTGGTGGATTTTTGTCGTTGTCTTGTTGTGCTGTGTATGTGATAAAGGGGAGCCATACCGGGGTAAACGCGTCTTCTGTTTGTCCCTGTGTCAGTTTCAGTTTATTGGTTGATTTTTCTAGTAGGGCTGTTTCTACTATTTCATACTATTTGGTACCATTGGTCCATGCTTACTCCTGACAGGTCTCTCCAGTGTCTGGCTATGATGCTTCTGGCTGCTGAAAGTAGGTGGGAGGAGATAACTGTTGAAGTGAGACATAGCTGTCAAGTGTCCCTTATTTGAAGGGACAGTGCTTTATTCCAGCGCCATGTCCTGCTGCTGTCCCTTATTGATGGATGTCCCTTAAATGTCCCTTAAATTATGTCCCTTAAATTTCAAAGGAAGCAGCTCCTCTCCCTCCCTCCCTGCCGGCCAGGGAGAAGGGAGGCTCCAACTGTGTTGCTTGGCTGTGTTGCTCACCCAATAAGAAGTCTAAGAACGACTGGGGGGTGGAGCTTGCATGCCTTGTGTGTGGCTAGTTAATGCAAGCTGAGGAGGTTTTTGAATGCTGGACGCCATTTTGTTGCACGTGCTGCTGCAAACTTTGCAGTGCAAAGCCAGGCCGGGAAGCCATCTTAAGTTGAGGCTGCATAGGCCTGGTGGTGAATGTGATTCAGATTCTGTTCAGTTGAACCTCTGGTTACAAAGTTGGTTGGACAGTGTTCTCGAAGCTACCAGCATGAGTTTGACCAGACTGCAGGAGGACAGGAAGACTGGAGTGCCTGGAACAGGTGAGGCTGCAGGTCCCTTATTTTGGCTGCTGGTCCCTTATTTTCAAATCTGTAAGTTGACAGCTATGATACAAGGTACAAGGCAACTTGTATGAGACAACTGTATATTGTGATAGCCATTTACCCTAACCAAAATTCAGTGTGGCTTGGAAAGGTAATCAGGAGCTGATGAGACAACGCCCTTCAGACGTTGCTGGACTCCAGCTCCCATCAGCACCAACCAGGATGTCGAATGGTCAGGGATGATGGGAGTTCTAGTCCACCAACCTCATCATGGGAAGCCTGGGAAATTCTGTTTATAGATCTGTTTCCCTAGTCCCAGACAGCAACTTTATTTGGAAAACGCCTCAGCAGATTTGAATTCTGTCTGGTTCCAAGTTGTGATTCCATTTTTTAACTATTTAATTACTTTACTAACTAAAAGCCTTGGGTGGTTTGGCTTTTAGTTAGTAAAGTAATTAAATAATTAAATATAATACATATATAGGGAACTATTGGAACAGAACTACCCAAACTGTATAGAAATTTAGTCATGTATGCGACTACAGCGGCAAGAATGTTACTTGCCCCAAAATGGAAAGAAGAAGAAGTCCCAGCAAAAGAAGAATGGATACCAAAACTTATAGAATACGCAGAAATGGCAAAACTTACTGGAAAAATAAGAAATCAAGATAACAAACTTCTTATAAAAGAATGGAAATGGTTTATGGAATGTTTACAAACAAACTATAAACAGATAAGAACATTGGCAGGATTATTGTAATAACCTGCAGTTTTATAAGAGTATATATTTAAAATAGATGAATAAATGAGCAAATTAAGTTAATTTGGATGTTCAGAAAATATTAAAAATAAATTGAAGGAACCGCAGAAAGAGGGGGAAGGAAGTAAAGTTTTGAAATGTTAAAATGATTGTAAAATTATTAAAATGTATAAAATTGAAAACCATAAATCATTTTTTTTAAAAAAAGGCCTTGGGTGCATGCATCTTCGCTTATGGGTTTGTAGTCTTAAACTGGTTCAGATATCCCCCCCCACACACTTTTGCTTGCTCCTGCTCATTGCAATGTATTACATTGTTGTTAAGCTGACGGTTTTTAATTCTCCTCCATCACCTCCGCCATTTCCCCTTCTGGTCTGTTTCCCTTCTTTCCCAGTAACAGCCGGTGCCCATTGGGACTGGTGGAATGGAAGGCGGGGAAGCCAACAATAGGTGGTGCCAGAGTGAACCACAGACGGAGTCAACACATTCTAGTTTCGCCCTCATCCTCTTTCCTGATGAGTTCTACACAGCTAACAATGAGAGCAAGCAGGGGGAAGCCGACAGCCTGTGCCCCCTTACTGATTGTAAGTATGAGGCAGGCAGGTAGGGGGGAGCTCTATGAAGGCAGAGTGAGGTCCATGGGGCAGGACCCCATTTGCCCTAATGGAGCAGCTTCCACTGTTTATTCCAGAGAATAATAGTTGGAAGGGACCCCAAGGGTCATCTAAGGAATCTTCTGCCCAACATGGGGCTCAAACCCACGTCCCTGAGATCAAGAGTCTTATGCTCTACTGACTGAGCTATCCCAGGTATTAACTGAGCTTTTGTTGTTGTTGTTGTTTAGTCATTTAGTCGTGTCCGACTCTTCGTGACGTCATGGACCAGAGCACGCCAGGCACTCCTGTCTTCCACTGCCTCCCGCAGTTTGGTCAAACTCATGTTTGTAGCTTCGAGAACACTGTCGCACCATCTCGTCCTCTGTCGTCCCCTTCTGCTTGTGCCCTCCATCTTTCCCAACATCAGGGTCTTTTCCAGGGAGTCTTCTCTTCTCATGAGGTGGCCAAAGTATTGGAGTCTCAGCTCAAGAGTCCATTAACTGAGCTACTTTCCTTTATCTTTTTATTTCGTAGATTGTAAGCCTACAGGCAGCACTATTTGTTTTATTGACTACACAATACTTAGTTTTAGATGCTTATCATGATTACAACTATTAAAACTTCCTACAGTTATTTCTGCACATGGTTTCTTCTTTTTGTTTTGCTCTTCTGTTGCATCACAAGTCCTATAGGCTACAGAAACAGGAGTAGGGCAAAAATCAGTTCAGTACACCTTTAAAGCTGAACCACTAAAATTTACACCTTCCAGTACAGTAGTAGAACCAAAAGAGCTATCTTTCAAAATTAGCATGTATCCCAATTTTGCGCTATGATTCTCCAACCGAACCAAAGTCCTTAAAAAAATGCTCATGTTCGGGAGATATGTGCATAAAATGAGTATATTAGTGAAAATAACTTACCAAAAATGGATTATATTAGGGGAAATTGCTTGCAAACAATATGCACGTTAGTCAGCATTGCATACAAAAATGTGCTAGGGGAAATCACAGAAATGCTGAAGAATTTTCATGAGGATTTTTTTTTTAATCACAAATTGCTGCAGAAATGTGGGTAACTGATTATAATAAGACTGGGGGAATGAGCAAGCAAGCAAGAAAACTGAAAATCACATATCCTTCCATCTCAAGTTAGGAGTGAAAGTGGGGCAGAAATTCAAAAAGTGCACAAGAGTTGTCACAGAAGCTGACATTGCTACGTAACGAGAAATGCTACTACTGTTGGTAGCAAACTAAACCCAAACGAGGTATTGAGGGGGTAGAACACTGGCAGCTTTTGAGCACCGGGATCTAAATATACTAAATACCATTTTAAATGCTACTTTGGATGCTATTAATGAATTATTTTATTATGTTATTTTATTAGCCATCACCAATTCTTAGCCAGTCAGAAGGCTTTCAGGGAGAAATCAAAATAAATTAAGTGACTAAATTACACCTAGACCATAAGCAGAACAAAGCACTAATGCATTTTTAACTCAAAATGAAGTCCGAGCATGCTCAGTGGAGCTTTCCTCAATATACTAAAACTTGTGGGATATTACTTAAAAATACAAAGTTGTTGAAATTATTATGGAAATATCATGAAACCAGTATCTGTTGATGGAAACCATAGCAATAAGACTTCTTCCTGCTACGATTCTCTCAGTGCATTTTGAGAGAGATGCAGCACACTCACTAATTTTAATTGCATCTGTACAGTGGTACCTCGGGTTAAGTACTTAATTTGTTCCTGAGGTCCGTTCTTAACCTGAAAGTGTTCTTAACCTGAAGCACCACTTTAGCTAATGGGGCCTCCTGCTGCCGCTGCGCCGCCGGAGCACGATTTCTGTTCTCATCCTGAAGCAAAGTTCTTAACCTGAAGCACTATTTCTGGGTTAGCAGAGTGTGTAACCTGAAGCGTATGTAACCTGAAGCGTCTGTAACCCGAGGTACCACTGTATCTTGTTCTTCCTTGAAGGATCTCATGAGGATAGATGTACAGTGGTACCTCGGGTTACATACGCTTCAGGTTACATACACTTGTTCATACTTTGTTTTAAAGGGAAAGGGGGAGGTAGTGCTAAGTGCCAGGGACAGCAAAGGAAGAGGCGAAACTTTAGAAATGTACTCGCAAATAAATAAACCATTGTGTAATTCAATTCTTGCAAATACTACAAAGCCTACTGCAAAATCTCTCAAGAACTTGACTTAACAGGAGAGGCTTGTTCTCAGTAAGTTGTGCCCTTGAAGAAGGTTGTCCTCAATTTCGGCTCTCTAAGGCAATGATCTTCCTCTAATCATTTCCTATTACTTCCATAATACTCCTGTTGGGAAGGCTCAAAATTGGTTTGATGCCAGATGTCTCAACTGGAAAAATCCCCAAAAACTCCTAAGACACTGAACACTATAGGGGAAAACACTATATATCATTTCGTAACACCTTTTAACTTTCTGCTTTGAAAAATATCAAATCCTGTTTTACAAATGGGGAGACGAGTGGCCTATGTGCACATTAGTGCTTAAAATGCAGTGATGTTGTCCCACCCCCCACCCCCCAAACCCTGCCTGCCTGCCGGCTGCATTTCAAGTTGCATTTTCATGTTGCCTATGAACTAGAGAAGAGGCAGGGATGTCTTCAACTGATGCACATAATCTGACTTTACCCTGGGCCCGCAATCTGTCCAAGGTTGGTTGTCATCTGCAGATGTGCAACAGCTGCCTGGTGGAAGATGGATTAAGTGAAAGTGCATCAAACAGCAGTGCTTCTCAAGGAGTGCTTCTCAAGATGCCTATGGATTGTGGCTATTTGTCGTGTGCACTCGGCTTCAAATGCCAGCGGTGGGAGTGCGCTGGAAGGGGCGAAAATGGAACTGTGTATGCAGCCCAAGTGGCTGAGTGCCCAAGTCCATGTAACAACTGCAGCTTTCTCCTGGGGCTCTGGACTGCTCTTCTGCACAAGCTGCAAGGAAATAAGTCTTGGGCCAGGTGGAATCGTGCAACTATCAAAGGCACAGGAACCTGGTGGGGGAGAAAATGACAACTCTACAGGGAGCCAGGTCTCCTAGATTAGGACAGTGGGATAGCTCAGTCGGTAAGAGCATGAGACTCTTAATCTCCGGATTGTGGGTTCAAGCCCCAGGCTGGTTGAAAGATACCTGCACTGCAAGTTCCTTTCAGCCCTACAATTATATAATTCTAAGTGCAAGTATACTCAGTTGCTCAAAGCAGCCCTCCACCCCACCCCAAGCTGTGGCAGATCAGGGGGCTGCATGCAAAGTGTACCATGGGTCAGTGCACATGAAACAACTCCTAGGGGCTGGGGTCCCTTGCTGTCTTGTTCCGAACCAGAAGGTTGCTGGTTCGAGCCCACCCAGAGCCAGCTGTGGGCACGATTCCTTCATTGCATGGGTCTAGCTGACTCTGGGGGGGTCTCTTCCAACTCTGCAATTTTGTGGCAAAGGTAAAGCAGCTTTTTTCACAAAAAAAGACGAAGCTTCCCAAAAGGGTGCTACGTAGGAAGCAACAAACAGGTGTGCCAACTTGAATGAAATATGGGGGGCGGGGCGAGGTAAGCCCCGCCCCACACTATCAATCACATGACACAGCGCGCACGCACTATTTGAATGGCAATGCCCATTAAATTTGGGGGCGCTCAAATATTTTATTGGGGGCCGAAGGGACCTCGGCCCCTAGGAGTTGGCTCGTATGCACTCCCCAAAAAACTTTGGCTGTGTTTGCTGCGCCTCCTGCCCGCCCCCCGCCCTCTGCTACGCGGAGTCCCGCGCGTCTCTTGAACTCCCGAGGGAGCCGGTTGCTGGGGAGGCGCCGGGCGGGGCGGATCTTCCCCTCGCCTCTTTCTTCCTCCTCCTCTCCCAGGTCCCTCCTCTCCCAGGTTGCGCGCTCCGCCAGGTCCCGGCCAGATGTTGCAAGCGCCTCGTCCTCCTCCTCTTCCTCCCCGCGGCTCCTGCCTGGCTCCGCCGCTGCCTCCTCTCCCCGCGGAGCAGCCCGGCGCTGGCCTCCCGCAGCCGGACCCAGGTTCGGGCCCGCCACCTGGGCGGAGGCGCTGCTGAGGCCTCGGCGGCGGAGCGATGGGGATGCTGCTGCCCGGGAACCGCAGCTTCCTCCTGGGGCTCTGGGCGGCCCTTCGGCGAAGGCTGCAGGGCGAGAAGTCCTGGGACCGGCGCCTCGACGAAATCAACCTGCTGCAGCAGAAGAGGTAAGTCCCAGGGGCGAGGGCAGCCTTGACTTCCGTGGGAGAGAGGGTGCCTCTGAGCATGGGCAGAGTGGCTTTCTGTTACGCTGTTACGTGTCCAGAGCCACGCCTGGGGCTGAGGGGGAAATCGTGCCCTGCGCAGCATGCCATGTGAAGATTCCGCGAGAGAATTCATCTATATACTGTATTTTTTTTTCAAAAATCACACTTATCTTCACTTTCCTTGGGACGCCCCCCTCGGGGACCTGTCTTAGAACAGGTGGAAGGGGACCGGCTATTTACCTGTCCTGAACTTTCTGGGGATGAGATGTGTTATACAGGAACCGATTTTCCCGGCGATTTGTCCTCTGCTCAGCTATTTTCCTCGGCTCAGGACAGGAGTTGTAACTCGATCTCCGGAGCGAACGCAGTTTCAGCTGTTCACCTGCCTGAGATACAGACAATATTGTATTCTGTGCTTCCTGTCCACCAGTAGCACTGAGAAAAGAGGGTCTCTCCCGCTCCCCTTTTTAATGGGGTGCTTAGGAAAGAAAGGCTGGAACCCTAGGGATGGAAGGCCTGTGTGTGTGTGTTGTGTGTTTGTGTGTGTTTTTGTGTGTTTGTTCCTCACTCTTCCTCTTCTGGTCTTATGGAAGCTGCAAATCCACATTATGAGGGAGCTGTAAGACTTTAGGATTGTCTTGCATGCCTTTTGTGTTGTTAGAAATCTTGCGATTAAATAACATGTTGGCAGGATGTGGCACCTGAGGGTTTTGCCAAAGTTCCTTGGTGACAGAGCCCTGGACTGCGATGCCAGGTGCTCTCAACTCAGGCACGCCTGAAGCTGACAGCGAAAATGCCTCTGAGCATGTGTAAGGTGCATATCCCTCATCGCCGAGTCATTGCCCACTAACAGCACTTTGCACAGCAGAGATTAGGGAGAAGAGTGCATCTAGGTGAAAGAGCATGACCCAGGTAGGGCAGAACCCTGGCAGAACCTTTTGCAGATGAAGCGCTGCTGGTTCTCTGCCAGTTGGAACATTCTGCAATTCAGTGTGCTTCTACAACAAATTAGGTCAGGTACACTGTTAAGCTTTGGGCAG